TAATGTGCAGCCAAGGTTGAGAACCACTGCTGTATATGCTAGTGACCTGCAAATTCACATCTTAACTCAGAGCTCTGCTGAATTCCAGACATGTTTATCTTAACTGCCTACCAGCATCTCACTCTCAACATGTCCAAAACTGAGCTCACCTATATGCTGCACTCTAAAGCTCTTATCTTAGTGCTGTTCTTTCAGTCACTTAGCACAAACTTTGCAGTCACCTTTGACAAAGCCTTTCTCTTGCTCCAAACCTAAATCTGATGTATCCATAAATTCTTTTGGGCTTACTTTCAAAATAAATTCACTCTTTATATGACTAGTTCTCAGCAGTTCCACAGCTACTCCCTGGCTTTGAACTGTCGTTTTGTTATATGAATTACTGAAATAGTTTCTTATCTGGTCTAACAGTAGCAAGAGTGATCTTTTCAGATATGGCAGAGCCACCCACTAGCCATTAAACAAATACATGCAGACGTCCCACACCCCATGTGCTTCTGAAAGGGGGTCTTGCAACCAACAAAAGACTAAAGCACAACTTTAAAAAGTGAACAACTGGGAACCACAGAAATGGGTCAACGTGGCCGCATTTTAACTCTGGAGCACCGTTCCATGGCAACCGTGCGGTGATTCACCAAAACGACTGGCGGCGTAAATTCACACAGGAACCCGAGGACGGGGCTACAGTCTAGAGCAGTGATGGCGAACCTATGACACGCTTGTCAGAGGTGACACGCGAACTCATTTTTTTTGGTTGATTTTTCTTTGTTAAATGGCATTTAAATATATAAAATAAATATCAAAAATATAAGTCTTTGTTTTACTATGGTTGCAAATATCAAAAAATTTCTATATGTGACACGGCACTAGAGTTAAGTTAGGGTTTTTCAAAATGCTGACACGCCAAGCTCAAAAGGTTCGCCATCACTGTCCTAGGCTGTTTGTAAATCTCCCATGGCGTCCCCTCTAATCAGAGGAGAAACTAAAGTTCTCCTTTACAGGACTAGTTTATTGAAGTGCCAAGCATTTGAATATTTTCTCTAAACTGTTATGAAATGTTAGTTACAGAAACCCCAGAACCGGCAATGACTAGTGGTGTGTATAGGCCTCCTGGAGCCAGGCTAACCACAACAAGGAAAACTCCACAAGGACCACCAGAAATATACAGTGACACACAGTTCCCATCCCTGCAGTCCACTGCCAAGCATGTAGAAAGCCGAAAGTAAGTCATTCCCACGTGGTGTTTTTGGGACCCTTCCCTTGGTGTGGAGTGGGATGGATGTAGGAGATATAAAAGCCCATGAGGAAGGGGTGCTCTTAACTGGTAATTCTAAGCTGCATCAGACAGGCAGCTGAGAATTTAGGGTGGGACCTCTGTGCCCTGGAGCGGGAGATGGGAAGGAGCACCAAAGACAAACTGTCTGCAGAAGTTCCTCTTACCCTTGGTTTATGTTCTGTAGCTTTGACTAAGCTGCTGTGTCATTCTCACAAATTACAATTCTTTACAAGTACATTATTACTGGTTTATGTTCCTATAATATGCAAACTGGACATGAAAGAGGACTATTTCGTTATATTCCCAGTAAATGTGAGTAGATGGAAGACGTTGGCATTTATAAATCTAATATTAAAATCTTATTTCAGCAGGTACTTAAAATGAATGCTACCTGGAATTAAATGACCACATATGGCACATCCACATCTTGTTTAGGGCCATGAATTTTAAAAATTAAATAAAATGGGAAGAAGTTAAATGATATCAGCTGGATATAATTGTTTTGGGGGGGTGACTTTTAAAGTAAATCCCAGCCGTTTTGCCTCTTTGAGACCACAGCTGGCGTGAGTTTAAAGCTCCACTTGGACTTGCTCCTCTGCCCTGTCCTACAAAATGAGGGGCACTGATTCGGCACACTCGTCCTTATCTGATCCACTCCCATGAAGTAGAAGTGAGGAGAAGTCATTGAATAATGAGAACTTGACTGAGTGAGAAAATTGGTACTCTTACTTATGCATAAGGAAAGAGAGCTGTATTGCCTATTATTTGCTAGCAGTAAAAGTGAGTCTTAGAAGGAATCACCATGCTATCACAGAGTTTTTAACTTTCCAGTTGTCTTCAAGTTGGTCCCAAAATAGATTTGCAGTTAACAGTACTGAACACTACAGTAGATTTGCTACCACAGGAAATGGGGCCATGGAGCTTCAGTTGCAGTGTTTTATGTTTTATGTTCGATTGAAGCCTTAAAAATGGTTTGATAAGGATTTTATAGACTCGTTTTCCTCTCCTGTCTCTCCCTCAAGATTCCTGTAAGGGGTGGCTTTTTTTTTTTTAACTCAAGGAAGAATATTTTTTTAAAAACCTCAAGAAATATTTACTGATTACGTTTATTTTCCCTTAGGGATAAAGAAATGGAGAAGAGCTTTGAAGTAGTAAGACACAAAACTAGAGGTAGGGATGAGGTTTCAAAAAACCAGGCCCTTAAACTTCAGCTAGACAACCAGTACACTGTGCTTGAAAATCAAACAAACAGCCACACACATTACAATTAAGGAATGGTCTTTGCTACCCCTTCCAAGGTAACTAGACCACCGCTAACCACCATGAACAGCCATTCGTCATCTGATCTCTGCTGGAGCGACAGCAACCGATGCAGACCCCTCGATATAAGTGACCGGCCCTATCGCACTATGGAAGTTTCAAGTGTCACAATTGCTCTATGTATATTGAATTTAGGAGGATTTTCATTGTTATAAATGTGTGAACTAGATTCAGCAGTGTTCTCTCATAATAATTACTCTGCAAATACAAAAAAAACCAAACCCACAAAAAACGGCAGCCAGTGGTCATTTCAAAATCTTTTTATGTTCAGATTCTGAGCCTTTGTAAGGTTGACTACCTCAGATTTGCTGCACTCATGTGGACTCATGTGGATCACAACTTCTGGATTGGAACGTTACAGCTCTTAAGTGGCGATATGGAACTTACAACCAGTTCTACTGGATTCCTATCAGAAATCCTGCAGAGAGTCAGCGTCTGGCTTCTGATCTGCTGTAAAAGATGAAGATTTAAGTGACCTTAACTGACCTGTCCTGTGCCCCACCCTCCGGGAATGCGCTCTGTAGTGGGCTGTGGCTGTTAGACCTCCTGGAACGTGCCGCTCTCAAAAGAACTGATGTGTTCAGATGCTCTGTGTAGGGCTGGGATTTCTAATTTAAACTTTGAGTTGTATTCTGAGGTAACCACAAATTCAACGAAACTTGGGTCTGCCAAGTGGGGAGGGGCATGGGAGGGAATAATCTTGTTTCTTTCGGTAATTTTTCATTGGGGTAGTGCTTTCTCTATGTTCCACATTAAGGCCTTTTTTGCTTTAACTTGGAAGAAGTTATTTGGCAGAGCATATTGCTTGGTTAAGTAAGTGACCTGAAATATGCATTAGAATTGTGAAATTGCCAATCCCTAGAGGGGAACCAAATAGCCTTTGATGGAAAGGGCAGTGGGTGCAGGGGGCTCTACTTCAGGTGCTGCTAAGCCTCCTCGAATCAGGTCTAATTATAAAGTTAACTGCAGTGGAAAGAGGATGGTTTCTGCTCAGGCCAAGGGATCCACTGACCCATTCTTATAAATTCAAAGCAACGTGAGCAGAACCTCAACCTAAAACCCACTTAGGTTTCATGGACCTTGCATAGTCTTTGACAATTTCAGATATATTTGTGCCCAAATTTTTAAGTTACTGGACATTCTGTAGATTGTCCCAGGGTAGCTCTGTTACCAACCCTCTGGTGTGTCTTTATGCTGTTCATTTAAAATCAGGGGCAAACCACAGGCGATGTAGCACTTCTGTTTTAATAATTACAGCCTAAACTATTCAGTCATTTTTAGTCCTGAAAAGGGACTTCAGGAAGATAGCCAGGTTTACTGAAAAGTTTCTTTCCATCTAATGAGAGTTTGATAATTTCCTAGTTTTGTATCTTTGGTTCAATAGAAATATGTCAGAGTGGTGTGTGACCACTTGATGCAGAGTCTGGTTTCTCTGTAATAAATCCCTTTGCCAAATGGGGGGAGTTGCAGACTTGCTACTGGCAAGAGTGAAGCAAGCGGGTGAGTAAAACTATCCTGATACGGGAGCATATTTCTGTGGGAGTTTAGTCTTGATAAAAGTGTCAACACAGGAATCGGACTCCTGGGGGGTTCCAGATCTCCTGACAGGACTGCCAACCATTCCTGGGCAATAATGTTGGTGTTCTCTGAGGTGGTGGGCTGGGATGCCTGCCTTCGGATGTGTTTGGGCGAGTTGCTGAGCAAACCAAGGAGAGGTTGGATGATTAAGCGAGAAATAAGGGATTCTTGGTTAAACTGAAGACTTCATTTGGGAACCAAAAATCTTAACAAATCTCTTGGACCTTGAGCCACATATTTTCCCTGAAAAGTATGCGTTTTTTTCCAGCAGAATTTTGTTGAGGGTTATGTTACTGAGGAATGAACTGGATGGGTATGTGGAACTTACTTAATGGCTTCCTGTACCAGAAAACTGAAGACCTGCAGGAGATTTAAAACCAACTCTTGTTATAACTTTTTAAAAGACTGTGAAATTGTCAAAATGCACATGAATCAAGTTTTAATATGCTGTATGATGGGTGGAGAGGCTGTCCATTGTACCATTTCTTTCTTTGAATTCTCAGGCATGGTTTGGCAGTGCAAGAACTCTTGTAACATTAACAAAGTCAATAAAAAGTGACTGGATTTTGGAGTCTGATAGTTTTTATTCGTAACCCATGACCTGCTGTCTGTCTTTGAAAATGGTGAATGAATGGCATGCCTCTGCTGTAGGAGGATGGTAATATTGTCCTCTCAGGAGGGAACTATGTTTGGAAAATGTTAAAAAGGGAGACCTGGAATGAAAGTGGCTGCCAAGCTGTGATGAACATTCTTTCCAGAGAGAAAGCATTGAAATGTACTTTTGTCTTCGTTACTGTATTAAATTGTGTTATCTCAAACCCTGGCAAGGGAATCTGCAACCTTGACTATATAGACTAACGATTTTTTTAAAAAATATATTTTATTGATTTTTTACAGAGAAGAAGGGAGAGGGATAGAGAGTTAGAAACATCGATGAGAGAGAAACAAAGATCAGCTGCCTCCTGCACATGCCCTACTGGGGGTGTGCCCAAAACCAAGGTACATGCCCTTGACCGGAATCGATCCTGGGACCCTTGAGTCCTCAGGCCGACGCTCTATCCACTGAGCCAAACCGGTCAGAGCTAGACTAACAATTTGAGACCTTGTCCTTTGAGAAGCTTATGGGTTTGTCAGTGAGCAGCCATTTTAAATTTTGGGATTTAGTCTAAATTGTAGTCCCTAAATTTATAACCTAGAGAAAATATATTTCAAGTCGTTTTTGGTAATGGAGTTGGGTTAGTAACTATGTAGGAGGCAGTCACTTAATTATTAAAAATGGTAGCAGAGTGAACAAATATTTAGTGTGACATTCTAAATTTGCAGTGATGTCAGAAACATGGTCTTCTGAAAGACATTTTGTTTTTCTTTAGACCTGAGCAATTTGACCCCAACTCTGAAGTATCCTATTCTGAACCAGTGTATTTGACCTTTTCTTGCCTTGTTCTGACAAAGTATCTGGCAGTAATTTTCTGTCATCACTTAACCCTGGATGATTTTACTCCCTCCCCTGAGAAAACTTTGATTTTTAAATTATTGTGGTACCGGGAGTCAAGATTTACAAAAATAGTATAAAACTTGTTTCGAATATTAGTGTATGGAAACTCAATTATTACCACCTCTGGGTGTTAAGGACAGAGACTCTGTCTTCCTTTTTAAATCCAAAGTTTAGATAGTATACCATCCCTTTAAAAGACTGCAGCTAAAGTTTTTATCATGTATGAGCAATTTTCTTCATGAGAAGTGGGGCAATTCAACTGGTTACTTCCCTGGTTTTCAATGGCTGTATTTTGGAATAATCTGGAGGTCTTTTAAAAATTAATGAGGCCTCCCTGGCCAAGTAGCTCAGTTGGTTAGTGTTGTCCCAATACGCCCAGGTTGCAGGTTTGATCCCCGGTCAGGGCACATGCAAATAAGTGGAACAACAAATTAATGTTTCTCTACATTTAATTAAAAGATTAAAGAAAATACTGAGGCCTGACTCCCATCCCTAGACATTCTGATTTCATTAATACGGGATGTGACCTGAACACAAGGATTTTTTTTTTTTTTTAATTCCCAGCAAAGTTTGGGAACCACTGGGTTATGACAAGTGATCTAGTAAGGAGTTATAACAGTCACAGGGCTAGTTCCAGTATGTAGGAAATCCTTTCAATTGTATTCTTAGCCCAGAAAGGATGATCATATTTCTAAACACACGCTTGAATATGTTAAATGGAGGGAAATGAATAACAAATATGTTCAATGGAGGAAGGGAACCTATAAGCTGAAATACTTGTTATTTTGATTTTTATGTACACCTTTTTTTAATATTTCCTGTCATTTCTTAGACAACTACCTCACCATCAATATAATTCCTGTAACTACTTCTGTTTTCCTTCTCTATACAGTAACTTTATTCTATTTGACTTGTGTCTTGACATTGAGTCTGACCATTCCAGAACTCACTCACTGTAAATGTACATTGTCTTACACTACCCCTGGCTACTCTTAGTTTGCCCTTCATATTGCCCAGTTACCACTTCTGGGTGTAGTTCTCCCTGGTGACTGTGGGAATGAACCATAATTAAGTTTCCAGAGATGAGCTCAGCAACTGCTCGCCTTGGGAACTGGATCTCAGAGCCGGTGTGGTTCACTCACCAGCTGCTCCCTGTTAAGGGTCGGGTGGGTTGCACCGAAGCGTCCTTTCTAATGGGCCCGCGGAGGAATCCTCAGGGGCTTGTCTTTGGCTTTAACTTGCTGGGACTATTGTGGTTTTCTTCCTGGGTTTCTCTAATTTTACAGTTCAAATTTATGCTTTTAATTAGAGACGGAATAAAACATGGAAGTCGGGAACTCCTTGGTGATGGGGGTGAAAGCAGGCTGCAAGCTTCCACTATATTCCTTTGTTCTTCCCTGACATCTTTTCTCCCGTCTCTCCTTTTTAAAACCTTAGCTCCATTCTGTCAAGAGTGTTAAATAGAATTTGTTGAAATTTTTAAAAATCACTCAGTATTGAACCATGGGCCGGGCACGCTCCTAAACAGGTAACACGTGTTACTCATGTAATCCCTTCAAGGTGGAAACTAGAGGCTGAGTAGCTTGGCCGAGTCACCGCGCTGCTAGCAAGGGAGCCGGGATCCCACCCAGGTGTGTGCACTCCAGCACGTGCTTAACCAGGAGGCTTTGCTCCTGGTCTCGCAGATTTAAGGCGAGAGAAGGAGCGTAGGAAACGCGCTCCTCGGAATCCGACTGGAAAGGTGCCCTTTGGCGTATTCCGTCCACGAGCCGGTGTGGCCGCCCTCGAGACCGGCTTCCTACCTCCCTCTGGGCCCCGGCACGCTGAGCCCCTAATGTTGAGGTGAGTGGTACTATCTTTATGTTTGTGGCTGCGGGAGGGGTTTTTGTGGATGTCTTAGGATGAAAATTTCAAATACATTAGTACAGAACCCAGAACCCAGCTTGAACAATGACCTGTTTGTGGCCGCCCCTGTTTTACCAGTAAACACCCAGGTTACTGAGAAGCGAACCCCAGGCTTCCTGCATCACAAACATTTCACCTGGGGGCACTCAGCCATAACGCCATTACCAAGCGAACATTTCGTAGTATCGAGTATCCTCTTGGTGTTAACATTTCTCTCATTTCTCTTGGTGCTTTACAGTTGGGCTTTGGTTTTGTGTTTGTTTGTTTGTTTTCAACATAATCCAGACAAGGACGACCCATTGCATTTAGTCTTTTGCGTCCTGGTGGTTCCCCCACTTCATTCTTACCGTTTTGTTGTTGAAGAAACCTGGTCATTTGGTTTGTAGACTTTTCCACATTCTGAATTTAGCAGGATGCTTTCCTACATTTCCTGCGAACGAGTGAAGTGCCGGTTATTAACTGATTTTCGTGTCCAAAGCGGCCCTGGGCGGGGTGATTGCGCAGCTCCGGGCCCAGTGCACGTCTCCCCTTTGCCAACAGAGGGCGCCGGAGGGACACCGTAGAATTAGCCAGAGCCCCGGCCTTGCGGTTCTCCGCGATGGCGAGCACGTGGACGAGGGGCCTGAGATGTCACCTGGGCAGCCCTCATGGTTGGACTGTGGCTCACGCTCCAGGTACCGCAGCCCATACCCTCCAGCGAGCTTCCCTGCCCCTGGCAGGCCGGGTGGCCAGCCATGCTCTCCCCTCCCGGGCTAGGGCCTCCGCCTGGAGAGGCTTTTCAGTTTCTAGGTGCCGGAGGGGAGCGGCTGCTTTCTGAGGTTGTTGCTGCTCTTCCTCTCGTGTAAGCTCTCACCCTTCTTAGTAGTTAACCACTTTCTTACTAATCATTGTTTATATTACTATTTTTTTTCTGTTTAAATTACTGGTTTAATTGGTTTCTTGACTGAATGCTGCTGGCTGATGAAATGGTACCAGGAATGGTCTCAGGAGACAAACCCTGGGAGGTTGGACCTGGGGGATTGGTTTGGTGGTGCCTCTGAGCTCCTTGCTGGTGGGAAATGGCATGGTGACAGGGTGGCATTACCACGCAGCGGCCGCCTCTGCTCGGATGCAGGGTCTCCTGCAGCAAATGCCTCGGGCCTGGGACCTGGGTTTCACGTGACTTGTGCGGCAGTGCTGATGTCGGCGCGGACTAGCGTGGGGCTGGTTCCGGAGAGAAATGACAAACTCGGGTCCTTACACTCTCGGCCCAGGTCACAGGCCACTCTGCCGGCACCGCTTCAGGTGGTCAGGGGGGCAGACGCTGCTGAAAACCAAACAACACTGAACGATGCGGTTGCAGGGTGACTTCAGTTGGATCCACAACCTTAAGTTTCTCATGTGAAATTTAAGATATCGATTGGGAAGGGTGGGGCCCGGGAGCTTGGAAGGGCGGCATCTGGTTGGACTCAGGCTAAACTGAGAGTCTTCCAACCAGAAGTTTCTCTGGGCCTCCCGGGCCCAGGCACGTAATGTGCCCTCCTGTGCCAGCTGAGGAGGCCAACTAACTGGAGAGAGGTTGCCTTGCAGGGAGATGCTCATTCTCAAGAACTCCTTTGTTGCCACTTATGGGCAGAGTGACAGCACAGGGAACAATGTAAGCTATTCCCACAGGCCCCGGCAGGAATCTGGGGAAGGTGTGGGTGTTAGGGCAAGAACAGATAGAACAAGATGGAACCGAATTCACTGACAACGGGTGCACTTACTAGAGATTCTGGATTTGAAGTATTGGCTCTTAAGGCTCTAAGTCTAAGAGCTTCCTTGCTTGGATTTGACTGGAACTTGGGCTCCGTGGTGGCCAACGGGTGATGAAGCTGAGAAGCTAGAGCTTCCATAGCAGATGTGGAGAAAGAAATCAACCGCCACCACATACAGTTACAGTTTCCCTGTGATGAGAACGTGTAAGATCTCACCTCTTGGTAACTTCCAGATATACAAACAGCATTAACTATAGTCACCATGCTTTACAGTACATCCCAGGACTTATTTTATAGCAGGAAGTTTGAAAAGTGTTGACCACTTCCACCCATTTCACCCACCCCCTCCACCCTCTGCCTCAGGCAACCACCAATCTGTTCTCTGTACCGTTGAGCTTGGGCTTCTTTCTTTGTTTACTTCCACATATA